CCCCTAGAGCCAGTCTGCCACCTGAGACAGGCCCCCCAAGTCCCTCAGCTGGACTCACTTCTTAAGGGTAGGGCAAGGTGGCAGGGACAAATGAGGGGCCCACAGACAGAAGTCCCTTTGCCCCCTCCCTTGTGCTGGCTTCCTGTGTGTGTGTGTGTGTGTGTGGCTTCCCGTGTGTGTGTGTGTGTGTGTGTGTGTGTGTGTGTGTGTGTAAGCTGAGTGGTGTCCTGGTGACTTGTTCATCCTGGGCTGGAGCTCAGACTCTGACACCTGAGCAAGGAAACCCCGTGTGACTCACAGGAAGCTGAAGAAGTGACTCCATTGGGGGTGGTTTAAGCCAGGTTGGGTCCCCTGCCACCAGAGTATCATGGCTCCCCCATAGCACGGGGCCAAGTATGCAGGACACCCCAAGTGGTCGCCCTAACTCGGTTCCTCTCCCCTGGCCACCTGTACTAGGAAAGCCCATCTTAGAGGGTCCCGGTGCCCCGGACACAGGCCTGGGAGCTGAGAGCCAGGGCTCTCGCAAATGCTTAGGTGCTGTGGCAACTTTGGGGGTGGGGGGGGTTGAGGGGGAGGATGGTCGAGGGGTAGCCTGCGGCTTTGGAAGTGGGGTGGGCACTGCTCCTCCTTGCACACTGCGGCAAAGGGGGCTGGTCCGCATCACCAGTCCCAGGTGTAGTTCCCTCAGTAGGGGGCCTGGGCTGTACCCAGCCCATGTCCCTCCCCTTCACCTGCTCACAGGCTTCGGGCCCAGCTGCTGACTCTTGGCCGGAAACATGCCCTCTGCCAGCACCCAGCCTGTGGGCCAAAATCAGCCAGGGCCACTTGGCATTCTTCCAGCCTGGGCTGCCCCCAGTGCCCATGGGCTCCAGTCAGCAGGCCTAGCCCCCACCCCCGCAAGCAAACAACTTCCTGTTTAGCTTTCTCTTTATTTGAAACTGGATCATGAATGTGGGCACACTGCACCCCCACCCCACCTGTGCCAAATGTGGACCATGGGCTCACTGGGCGGTGACCGCAATCCTGGGTGCTGCTGTTGGTGGACCCCGAGGGAGAGGCACGTGGGGGCCTGTCTTCTGGTTTCTCTCTGCAGACAGGCGTTCCAGGCGCTCCGTGTAGAAGCCATTGAAATCCAGCCTGGAGGGGGAAGTCCAGGCCCATGAGGGTGGCCCATGCACACACACACCCCCCCAGAACTTGCCGGACCCCCACTGCTCATCCACAGCCAGGTGGCACACAGGTGCTAGGGCCAGGAGCCTTGTGGGCAGCCCTGACTGCAGGTCCTGGGTGCCCATCAGCTCCCAGGAACAGCCCTCCCCACTCCGGTCAGGTAGCACAACAGCCTGGGCCTCTCTTCATCCCCCTCCTCCAAAAAGACATTGGACCTGCACCGTAACCACCCCTTCCCCCGCCCCACTTTATCCTGCCCTGTCTCTCCCTGCCCCAAACACTTGTCTGTTCACCACCCTACCTGAAGATGAGGTTTACCCTGTTCCCCACCTCCCAGATGACGCTGGCTGCCCCCACATACACACACACCTGGAGATGACGCTGGCCATGCTATGCTCGCAGTCACTGGTGCTATAGATGCTCAGCCGGGCCAGAAGGTCAAGGAGGTGAGTCGAGAAGTTCTTGTCAAACTTGTTGATGGTGACCTCGAAGGCAGAGGTCACCTGTGGTGCATCCATGTGCTCGGCCAGGTGCTGAGGGAGGAGCGAGGAGCACCTGAGATATGCTTCCTCTCGGCTTCCTCACTCAGCATTCACGCCAGCACCCATGGGTGTAATGGAAGTGAGGCTGGTGCCTGCCCACTGCACCAGGGCTGGCCAGGAAACTGACCAGGGCCTTGTCTTAACCAGGCTGCGGGAGCAGCTGGTGGGGGTGTGGCCCTGCAGGGCTTCTGAGCAGCAGGCAAGCACGCACCTTCTTGGCGAGCTTCTTACGGGTGTTCTCCTCAGCCCTCTCAGCCTCGGTGGGTGGCCCCAGCATGGTCCCATGCTCCAGGGTCAGGCGACCCAGCTCGCCATTCAGCTTCATGCTCTGAGTGAACCTCTGGGGAAGGGACGTAGCGACACTTAGTTTGACAGCCAAGGCTGGTCCGGGCACATGCAGATGACCGAAGTAGTTGGGAGCCTTCCGGTCCCAACACTGTCTGTGTTCCAAGACCCGCTAGGCTCTAGGGCCTGAGAAAGCAGCTCCAGCTCTCTGCCCTACATGCAGCCCTCCAGGCCCGCCCCTCACCCTGGTCACCCTAGCCCCTGGGCACCAAGGCTGTCCTTTTCTGCACGCTGGTTTCTGGGAAACTTCTTCTAACAGATGCCGACACAGCCACCAGCACCGTGCCTTGTGACCCGAGCTCTGACAAGGGGATAGGCTAGGTGACAAGGCCGGGACAGAAACTCAGTGGCCAGGGTGTGGGATGGGAGGGGCACAGTGAGGTAGAAAAGGCAGTTCCCCACTCTGTATACAAGTGAAGGAGGAGGGCCAGGGGCTGGGGAGTGTGTACCTGCACGCAGTTGGTGAACATGACACACACGGACATGAGCTTGGAGAAGGCTTTGAGCAGCTCAGGCGTTGTCAGCATACAGTCCTTGAGGCAGTTGTCCAGGAAGCTGGTATGGTGGCCCAAGACGTCGTCAATGTTGGAGGCCTGAGGGAGGGGCCGTGTGAGCCTGGAACGCCCACCGCGGGCTTGGCTCTGGCTTTTGTGTGTCTGCTGGGCTTGCCCTCGCCAAAGGGCCATATGGGTTTGGGGGGGGATGCCACACACCAACCCCCACTGCCAGCCACCACTGGGCGTGGCTCCCGACTTGCAGTGGGAGTTGCAGGACTGAGCAACACTGCCTGTAGCTGTTTGCCGGCACCTCCGTGGGAGCAGACCATTTAGCTTTCTCCTGAGGAGCAGCTGCTAGGCCCAATCTACCCACCTTTTTTGGTTGGCAGCTGAGCACTTAAGCACTGCGCCACCAGGCCTCCTTTTACACCACAATGCGAGAAACCGGCCTAGTCACTGGGTGCTAAGGTCCCATCTCCAGACTTTCCACCAAGGAGGTCGAGGGAACTGTGCTGCACAGCCAGCCACCCGTGTTTAAGGTGATGGAGTGTGGCTGATGGGCAGCCCAGCTGGGCCCAGAATGCTCTGTGATGAGAGTGGCAGCCCCCAGACTCCTTAGAAGAGGCAGCAGAAGGCACAGTGCTTTGCTGCGGCAAGGGGACCCTGTGACTCTTCTCTGATGGGAGGACTTAAGCACACTCCCTAACTTGAGGGGGTGGATGCTGTGACCGCCCTCAGGATGGGACATGATGGTTGTGGGGGCCGTCACCCACAACACCCTTCCCTCTGAGGGGGCCCAGGCTATCCCTGCCAGCACCACGCACCGATCTCAGATTCTTCTCCAGGATGTGCCAAGCAGGCTCTGTCACCTCAGACATCATGTAACACTGGATGTTCTGCACGAAGTTGAGCATCCGCTGCCGCAGGGTGAAGGCACCCGCAAACCTGGGGGGGCACGGCACTGGTGCCTGCTCCCCAGGGACTGGCCTCACCTCATCACCCGGGACCAGGAATAACAAGGACCTCCCCGGCCCCCACCTCACGAGCAGTGCCCCAGCCCCCGCTGGGTAAAAGCCCTCCCTGGGGCGGCTCCGGGCACCCCATGGAGAGCAGGGACACACCACTTGGCTGAGTGGAGGGCGTGCTGCTTGGCGGTCTTGTTGCTGACCCAGACACTGCAGAGCTGCCGCTCCACGTACTTGCAGTAGAACAAGTGCCGGAAGAGCATCTGGTAGCGGGTCAGCGCTTTCCTACAAGGCAGACGGGAGCTCGGACAGGCCCTGTGCTGTGCCCACACCTGCAGCTGGCCCCACGCAGCAGACACCACTCACCGGTTGATGATCAGAGACAGCGGCCATTTGACAACGTAGTCAAAGGAAAAGGCCTCCAGGCCACTCAGTGTGAGCTCTGTGGGCTCGGCGCCGACCAGCGCCCTCTCCTGGCGGGTCTCGATGGCCAGCACCCGCAGCAGCTGTGTGATGAGGTCATGGGGCATCAGGTCGATCTGGGGGGCAGTCAGGGAGAAGGTTAGGGCTGGGGCCCTGCCTAACCCGACAGGGCATCTCTGCAGGTGGATCACCGAAGTTGGAGGCAGGCATGGGATACCCAAACATCCACAAACCATGGCGCCCCAGGAAAGCGGAGACAGCCACAGTGGGACTCGGAGCCGAGTCCTCAGGGCTGGGCGGAGACACTGACAGGAGCCAGTCCCCTCCGAGTTCGGAGTCCGCCTGCACCGAGGAACCACAAAATCAGAAACACCAACAGCTCTTGGACCTACCAGGGTTCCCACAAGCCGGGAGTGGGGCAGAGCCCCAAGTCCTTCCACCAAGCTCCCTGGGCTGCCCAACAGGTGGGGCCAGACCCAGTCCTGGTGGGGCTGCTGCTCAGGCAGACTGCCCGAGACCCGAAATGCACCTTGGAGTGGCAGAACAAGGCCCCACAGAGGTGCTCAACTGGGACAAAGGGCAGGGCTCTTAACAGCAGGCCCAGCCAACAGGTGCAGGAGGCCTGAGGGTACCCAGTGGTGGTGGTAAGCAGGCCTGCAAAGAGGCCAGTGTGGGGTTTTGTAGCATTAGCAGAGCAACGGGGCCCCTGGGGTCTTAAGTAGGCCCCTGGGAACCGCAGACATACTGACCAGTGACATGCTGGAGACGTGTCTTAGCACAACCCTGCCTCACCCTCAGAAGGCATCAGCACACAAGAACGCACGAATGACACTAGGGACGCCGAGGACCACTACAAGGACAAGCCTGGGGGTAGTCACAGATGTGCAGACACTGGGCCGTGGAGCCTACAGCAGGGTGATGTCCATGTGGTTTCCTAGCCCCGTGTCAAGTGGGGACAGGATCCCACAGGAAACTGCCCTGCTGCTTTCCAGAAACCCCGGGGACACAATGGCCCACACACAGCAGGCTGCTGGGGAGGCTTGACAGGACTCCCAGCTTATAAGTCTCTGAACCTTTTCACCTGCAGCCCGCCAGTAAGACTTAAGAGCATCCCTGTACAGGGTACACATGCCCAGACCACACGAGACCCACATGTCATCACCTACAAGACTTGTGAAACTAGAGAGGGCCCCTAGGCCCCTGGGGAGGGAGGGGCCCTGTGCAGCCACCACCCAGAGGTGCCCCAGCAGCCCTGCCCCATGAGCTGGCTCCCAGCCTGTGACTCTCACAGGTGTTCTTAGGGCCCCTGCCACTCACACTCACTGGCTCTTGCTGGCCCTGGGCCCCACCCACCTTCAGGTCATCCTTGAAGGGGTCGGTGTTGGCTGTGCTCATGCGCAGAGCCAGCTCCAGCAGGGCCTCCAGGCGTGGGGGTGTGATGTCATCCACAGGCTTCTTCAGCTCCTCCTCCGTGAGGTCCATGAAGTGCACAAAGAAGTCCCCCTGATCCATCAGGAAGTAGCGCTTGATGGACCTGGCCAGGGTGGGGCTAGTGAGGCGCCACTGTGGGCTCCTGGGATATGAGGGTCTGTCTCCTGTAGGTGCAGCCCACCAGCCAGAGGATGCATAGAGGCTGGGACCAAGCTGTGTCAGGAGGAGGTAAGCTCAGGAGGACCACGGCTGAGGGTCCCAGTCACTCTCTGGGGCTGGCACAGGAGACAAGCCCATGCAATGCGGCAGGGCATCAACTTCCTGAAAGGTCAGCAGCCTCAGTGCACCCTTCCTGCCTCAACACATGCACACCACCACCAGGTGTTCCCCCAGCCCCCAGGCCCTGCCGGCATGGCGCACCTCACCTCAGGTGGGCCACGAGCTCCTGCTCCTGCATTAGGAAGTCCAGCAGCACCTTGCTGGCGTAGTTGAAGGCCTTCTCGATCTGCTCCACGTAGGCCCGCTCCTTCAGCGTGTAGGTGATCTCCTTGGCCACGGGGCAGGTAACGTCGTGGCCACACTCCCGTACCACGTTCAGGTATTTTCCTGGAGATGAAGGCCAGTGGCTACAAGTGGGCTGCGCCTGAAGCCCTGAGATCCTGGCCAGCAGCAGACACCACAGGAGTGGGAGCTGTCTTCAGCCAGGCCTCAGAGAAGAGCTGGTGGCTTCCCAGAAAGCCTGGGGTCAGGGCTGTGCTCAAGAATGGGGAACTTTCTGACCAGGAGTCCAGCAGCTGTGGCAAGGGGTTTCCTAGAAGCTGCACATCCCGGGTCCCCCGGTCTGGCTCCGCTTTGAGAACAGTCTACAGGGACCTCACTGACAGTGTGGTGTGCCTACAAGTGCTTGGAAGCAGGCTCCATGCAGACCATAAGGAGCAGGGCCCTGGCCGGGGTCTGGGTGTGATGGGAGGGAGCTTTAGACGTTAAAAGGGCGGGGACGAGAAAAGAAATCAAAAAAGAGACAGAGACAGACTACTGTCTGGCTCCAGGAGCAAAGTGAGTCACCTCAGGCCACATGGCCACTCTGACTTTGAGCCAACAACTCAAGGCCTGGCTTGGACAGCTACTGGCCGTGGGCCACTGTTCCCTGGGAAGGTGGGGAGGGGGGCAACACAGCTCCGGGAGTACATCTGGGGGGCAGCCTCTCACTGTGGGGGTGGGTTCTCGTGTATGTGAGTAGGGCTGGGGCCCACCTGTGCTGAGCACCTTGTCAGCCACCTCCTGCAGGAAGGACGGGATGTGTGGCTGCACCACGGTGTAGCGCTGGTCCCAGTACTTGTCGTTGTAGTCCTCCTGGATCTTCTCCTTCCGAAGCTCATGCTCCTCCACCATGAACTCGCTGCGCAGACACAACTTGAGCTCAGAGGTGGGCCAGGCCCGGGGTGGGGGTGGGGTGTCAAGACACAGAGGACCAGGCACTGTGAGGGCCAGAGGACTAGGACCCGGGAGGGTCAGACAAAGAGGACCAGGCTCCGGGGGAGGGTCAGACAGTGGGCCCTGCTGCTGCACCAGTGCCTGTAAGGTGGTGCATTTCCTGGGGGGCAGTGGAGGAGGGTGGGTGGTATCCTGGTGCTGGAGAAGAGGGGTGCACAGAGGGAACACATGCCAGAAGGTGCACTAAGGTGGAAGGCAGCCGTGTACTACAGACCTAGGGTCCTCCTGGGTTCCACTGCAAGCACCCAAGAAGGCCCCCAATCCCCCCAAGCTACAGTGCCAAACCCCAAGTAAGGCCCCTACCTCTACCCACACAAGAGTGGCACCAATGCCCCCATCACGGCTTTCAGACCACAGCCTTGAGGAAGCCCACTTGCTTTCTTGGGACACCTAATTTGATAGTGGACACACATCTGCCCTGATGTAACCTTTAAAACGCAAACCAGAATCATCCCCTGAAGCCGCTGCAAATCAGCCAAGAGAGTTATGCGTTCTACAGGGAGCTGTCAGGGCAGGGAGGGGCGGGGTTTCCTTTGAGGAGGAGGAGGAGGAGGAGAAGGAAAAGCTGCACAGCGTGGAGAACAGTGGTTTCCATCCCCGTCACTGAGAAACCAAACTCATGGCCACCGGCTCACAGCGACCTTTCGAGACAGCTTAGAACTAACTGCCCTGAGTTCCCGAGACTAGAACTCTTTCCAGGGAGAAAGTCCTGTCTTTCACTCAAGGAGCGCTGGTTTCAAACTGCTGACCTTGTGGTTAACAGTTCAACGGGTAACCACTGTGCCAACGCTCCATCCTGCTTCAGCCGCAGCTGCCCATCTTCCACCAGTTCCCCGAAGGACTGTACTCACCAGGACCAGACGGTACACATACGGTGACTCAGAGGAGAGAGGCCCTACGTGTCCGTCCACACCTCTCGCACACGGCCACTCGGTGCTGAAGGCCAGCCCAGGCTGCGGGCTCCAGAGGACATTTGAGACCGAGGGGGTGCCTACCTGTAGGGGTCGTCGATGATCCCCCGGTAGATCCACTTTTCCAGGATCTCAAAGTAGGGCACGCTGGCGGCCTTGGTCAGGTAGAGACACAGCTCCTGCGCCTGGGCATCCCCCGTGTAGTTGAAGGTCCTGTCGTGGAGGAGGCTGAGGGTGGAGCCCCCCAGACACTCACCCTTATCCACCGACGTGGCTGTGGAGAGAAGGCTGGGGCTCACCCGCTGCTGCAGCCTGGCCCGCCACGACCCGCTTCTGCATCCGGCTGGACAGTGGCTCATCCAGCTCTGCTCACCTGCCCCCCCAAAACTCCAAACCGGCGAGACTTTATCCTCACATTGCCCCCCATCACACAACACAGTCACAAAGGCACCTGCACTGGCCCCGCCCCAGGTCTGGCCTCCCTCTGGGCACTGGACCGGCCCCCAGGACTGGCTTTCTTCTGAGTGCTGGCCCCACCCCCAGGACTAGCCTCTATCTGGGCACTGGGTAGGGCCAGGGAGGCAGTACCAAGGGTGGCGAGGATGTCGACGGTACGCATGGTCGGCTGGATGTAGAACCAGAGCTTCTGCAGGGAGAGCAGCCCCTGCCTCTGCAGCTGCTCCAGCTGCGTGATGAGGATCAGGTACTCCTTCACCAAGGTGCGCATGGCGGCCGCCAGGGCATGGTTCACCTGCCCATACTCGAAGGAGGACTTCTCCTCGATGAACCTGGGGTAGGACACACGATGCCCCTGCAGGGCCAGATAGGCCTTCCACTCTGGGCAGCAGGCACTTCCCTGGGCCTCAGGCCGTAGAGGCGGGCATGAGGCCGGGAGAGAAAACGGGTGCCTAGTCTAAGTAAGCATGAGATGTGTAGCCAGGGCTCTTGCTCCCCTGCAAGGCAGACCTCTCAGGGGCAGCGTGAGCCCAAGCCACCCGGGGTAGCACCCACCTGGCCACGGTGGAGTAGCTGGCAGCCACCGGGAGAATCCTGTTCACCAGCTCCCTGACAGACAGGTCCAGGTTGGGGTCCACAAGGAAGGAGCGGCCCTGCCGACCTGTGAGGGGCTGTGCAGTGATGTACCTGCCATCCACACCGGCCAACACGTACAGCAGGTCCTCCACCACGGCCGACTCCTGGGAAGTCAGGGGCAGCGTGCCTGTGGAAAGGGGCAATGTCTCCAGCAGCAGCGGTGTCCCTGCTCCACCTGCTGGCCCCTTAGCCGACCCTTCTAGCGCCCTCCCGCCCCCCAATCTGGCTGGCTGCTCTCCTCTCTTTGCTACTGGCTCAGACACTGTGGAAACAAAACCAAATTGGGGTGTTTGGATGGCAGAGGCCCCAGATCCCGAGAGCTATGAGTCTGTCCTGAGCACAAGCCTGGCCCAGCGCAAGTGCAGGCAGACGGAGGCCTCTGGTTGGCACACATGCAGGCTTTTGGAAAGGGGCTGCTTCTATCCCTGCTCGGGGGGTTGGCTTCCCTCGGGATAGTCACTCTGGATTTTAGGAAGCTTGCTGAGAAATGCCTCTCACATGTCACGAGAAGGCTGCCAGGACCACCGTCTGTTTCCTTGTGGCCCCCCCAGCTCTCAGGAGACCAGAGAACAAGAGGACAGCACTGCCAGGGCAAAGTAGCAAGGTGGCTATAAGGAGCGGGGGCAGGCCAGGTCGGCACCCAAACTGTCACTGTCACCACAGACATCATGGGGCCCTGCACATCACCACAGGCTGATGGTCCGAGCACCTGCCGCTACCACTATGTACCCATAGGCAGGGTGGTGCCTGCTCCCAACCCCTACATACCTATGGGCAGGGCAGTGTCTGTGCCCACCCCTGAGCTGGTCAGGAAGTCCCCAGTCAGCGCAGGACGCTCATACACCCACGCTGGGAACACGGGGAGATGCTGGCCTGAGTTCTTCTTGTTCTGCTTCTCTCGAAGCATCTTTCTTGTAAGTTCCAGAGACTGGCAAGCACAGTTTAAAACAAACACAGAGGGACTTTCCTGAGTACCTGGCCTTCACATGCTCAGGGCTCTGATGGCCTGACAAGAGAGCCTGTTGTCTGATGCAAATGAGGGATTAAGAGACCAGGATAGGTTTCCCTGTCTGTGACCCATCAACAGGCCAGATGTGAGGGGAGGGGGCTCCTCTCCTCTCTCTGCCATTTGGGGAGCCACCAGTCCAAGGAGGTGCCCTTGGGGAACCATAAGCACTGTCCCAAACCACCCCAGAGTGACCATCAGTCTCCGCTAATGCAAACACCGAAGAGCCTGGTGCAGTGGCATGAAGCCTTGGTCCTGAGGGGCTGGCCTACCCATCGGCTGGGGTAACCTGGCCCTTGGTAGCACTGATTCAGGGCTCTGCTTCTAGGGTAGGCAGCTTGGGTGGAAACTGCCCCTGCCTTGGCAATGGCCCATTTCTCATTCAGGGGTGTGAGTACTATGGGAGACCCAGGGCCACCCAGACACAGTACCTCATTACTATAGCCTCTCCCGGGGGTCTGGCTGGTCTTCTGGCCCACCCATCCACCCACCACACGCTCACAGCCCCGACAGCCTGATTCACAGGCAGCGAGTTCTCAAGTGGGCCTAAGATGTATCATAAAGGTGCCAACCTTCTAAATAAATAAATAAAGGTGCCAACTTGGCAGCCAATCAGAAAGACAGGGGCTAATTGCTTACCAAATAACCAGAGGACTAAGAGAAAGACAAAATGTGTGGCTAATGGTCTCCACAAAGCGCTGTGGCCTCCTTTGCCATGAGACCAGAAGCACTGGATGGTGCCCAACTACCACTACTGAACAGCTAGCTGATCACGGACTTTATAGAAGAATCCTGAGCAGAACAGGCCTTCAAATGCTCATGAAAGACGGCAGAGGCCACAGCACCGGCCGTGCTGGGGCTGGCGGTGGCAGCAGGAATCTGCAAGGGCGGCGGGAGGTTGGTAGCAGACAACAACAGTGACTGCACCACGGTTAATGTAGCTGGGGCAGGGACTTGTACATGTCACAGGGCTGAGCTGGTAAATTAAACCACAGTCTAAAGCAGGAAGAAGCAAACATGAGGGAAGAATCATCCCAGGAAAATTTTTTGTAAAGCACATTCTAGAGAAAACAAACTCCAAAGGATGGGTGATGGCTGAGTGAGGCCCCCATGTCCCTCTTTGCAGAGGCTGGCTTTCCGGAAAGTCTACACTCACTGCAGCGCTGCTTCCGGCTGAGCTCCAGGAAGCTGGCTGCCAGTTAGCTGGAAGGAGGTCGGGTGGGCTTCTACCTGCTGCAGCGTGGAGCCTGTGGCCACACTGCCCAGCTGCCGCCTCAGCTCCTCCAGCTCGCGTGTGGAGATCTTGGAGGCTGCCACCGGGAGGCTGAGGCTGGAGGTGGTGCTGGCCCCGAGCTCGGCCCGCTCTTTCGCATTCTGCTGTAGGTACTGCAAAGTCTAAAGACGACAAAGCCAGCACTTGTGGGGGTCGGCACGCACTGCCATCTGGGGAACAAAGCCACCCCTCCACCCCACTCCCACTCCCAGCTTACTACTTTCCTGACTCTAAGGTGCACCCACAGGGACCAATCTGTATCCCATGTGTCTGGCAGGCAGACCACCTGTCATCTGCTGAGCACCTCTCTGCCAGCCACTCTTCCATACCCCTGCTGGTTCAGCCAGGCTGCAAAGTCCCCATCAAGATCTCTGAGCTCCAAATGAGCAAGTGCTTCCACTGGTCTCAGTACTGCAGGCCCTACCCTCACCCCTTCTGTCTAATGACGCATCCTGGGAATGTCACCAGGCTACGCTGAAGCGTCCTTCCAGTAGCACCGTCCATGCAGGGCCCAGGTACCTCCTGGTCCTCCATGAGCTTCGACAGCAGGTACACCAGTGGGTCCAGGCCCCGCGTGTTTTTTGACTTCAGCTCATCATACTTCTTCAGGAAGTCTTCAGGAGTGCGAGAGAATTCTGCTATTTTAACCTGAAAGCATAAACACGGAAGATCCAAGTGATAGTACTTAAACCCTAAGCCACACAGCTTCAAGTAAAATAAACACAGGACGCAAAAGGTAAGACACGGCAGAGTGGCCTTGGGTTCCGAGAACGTGAACTCCGAGGGAGCAGCCAGCCTCATCTTTCTCCCTTGGTTGCACTGAACGGATAAACCAGGCAAGCCAAGCAACCAAATAAACAGACCTGCTTGCCCCAGCCTGAGTCCTGCCCTCACCACTCCCAAAGTTGGGCTGTCAGGTGTCACTCAGCGATCTAGAACGCTCCTTTGGTATGAATTAGATGTACCTGCAGCTCCTAAATAAGAGTCCTGGTAGCACTGTTGTCACACTTAGCTGCTACAGCAAGGCCAGCAGTTTGAAACTACAAACTGCTCCGCGAGATAAAGAGGAGGCTTTCTACTCTGTAAAGAATTTCAGTCTCGGGAACCCCCAGGGTCAGTTCTGCCCTGGTCCATGGGGTGGGCATCGACTGGATGGCAGTGAGCTTGGTGGCTCCTGAGCTCAGTTCTGCTTGTGCCCCACCCCACTGCCCCATTCCTCGACTGATCCACGTTGCTTCAGGACTTGTCTTTAACAACAGATTTTGTGTTCAAAGTCACTTTCTGCTGAAAACAAGTCAACTACAGCTATTCAAATAAACTAAGGGACAGCACTGGGCACGATGGAAATCAGTGGGCGGCTGGAAGACGGGGTCAAGTGAGAGGTGTGGCAGCGCTTACCCTGGCGCTGTGCGCGGAGACGGTGGTGGTGACGTAGGGGGTCCGGTTCTTCTGCAGCAGGTCCATGTAGACCTCGGCCCCATCGCCGCCGCCGTGGACACGCAGCAGGCTGAGCAGCTCGTTGACATCGTGGTGGATGCGGAATTCACTCATAGCTGCGCCTGAGGCCCCAACATCACACGCGAACCCCTAGAACCGGTGGGCGCCGCTTACAAAACCAAAAGCCACCGGTGAGTGGGACTGGGAGTGGAATCCGGCCCGGACAGCCCCCTCCCCGCTGCCCTGCGCCTCCTCCTTGTCCCGCGCAGTCAGCCCCTCTGGGTCCGAGGGACGGGCGCTAGACAGGGGACCACACTCGGGGCTTGGGGTGGGCTGGGCGCAGCCTTCCCGCGATGGGCCCAAAGAGGAGATCGGCCACCTCCTCCTCCAGCGACTCGCAAGCCCCTAAGCCAGCCCGGCCCCGGTGCCGGGGGCCGGTGCCCGACAGCCCTCTCCTAACAGGCCCCAGGCGGGAATCGGCTCTCGGCACAGAGGACGCCAAACCAGGCCTGGCCAGTGGAAACCGACCGCCAAGTGTTGCCCCGGCCCCTGCCCCGGCGGAAGGGACACCTAGGAGCCAGCGGGAAGGTCCTGGCGCGGTGAGGCGGTGACAGGGCTGCGGACGAGCTCGGAGTCAAGGCCGGTCCTCCTACGCACCAGGGACCCCTCGCGCACCTATCTCCGCCCGCC